GGATACTGAGATTGAGAGAAGTGAAGTCAGCTGCCCAAGGAAGCACAAGTGATAATTGAAGAAGCCATCATTGGAAGCCTTGTGTGGGACTCATCGTATGTGGCTCTTGTCTGGGGTGTTTAACCTGCAGGACCTTGCTTGAGACCTGTACTTGAATACACCTTAGAGCTTTACCTGGTATGACAGCACAGCTGGGATTTCATACATAAGGTGTTCCCCCTGGAGCCCTACCCGAGTGCCTCACCTGGGGAGTGTTACACAGGTACCGCAGGACCTCACCCACATATGGGACCACAGTCACACCATGTTGCCGGCAGTCATCCCAGAAGCAGGAAGCAGAGAACTTGGGGGCCAGGACACAGGTGGCTCCTGGGAGGCAGGAGAGGAATGAGTTTCAGGTCATGCTTCCAGCCGCTGTGAGAAGCTGCTTTGATCTGAGGCCCCTGAAGCCTAGGATGACACTGGGCTCATCTCTATGTCCCTGGCCCAGCCAGGACTGCCTCCATTAGAAAAGCATAAGCGGGCCCACACTTGAATCCTTGTCCAGGATGTGTGGAAAGCTTGGTGCCTCATAGAAAGCAAGCATTGCTAAATAAGGGCTATGAAAATTAATCATTTTTTATTATGATAAGTGTTTTATCTGAGCAGAAGTATAGCCTGGTAAATGGGTGGATGGAAAGGTGAGTGGGTGGATGGATGGATGTTTTGAAGGATGCTCACACGAATTAATTAATTTTAGGAGCCACTACATTCACCCCAGGTAAGTGAGCCCTCCTTTTCTGATTCCTTTCTCTACAGCTGGCTCTGTAGAGGGCACTCTCCCAAACTCAACCCTAATCCTCAACAGAATCCTGCAAGTAAAACATCATAATCCTGCACCCAGTGGGACAACGGCTGGTGTGCTTGGTTAGTAGCAAGTGTATCTTCTTTGAGCCTGTATTTCTGATAGGGAGGTAAAATATAAAATGGGTGCTGACCCTGACTGGTGTGGTTCAGTGGATTGAGTGCTGGCCTGCAAATAGAAGGGTCACTGGTTTGATTCTTAGTCAGGGCACATGCCTGGGTTGGGGGCCAGGTCCCTAGTTGGGGGTGCATGAGACGCAACCAATCCATGTTTCTCTCCCTCTCTTCCTTTCTTCTCTCTCTAAAAGTGTATAAATGAAATCTTTAAAAAATAAATAAAATGGGTGCCTGAACCTTGAAAATGACAGCTCCCTGAATAAAATTCATGATTCAGGAAAGGTCATTAAGAGCTAGTAAAACCAGGTGTAAGGTTGGTAGAGAGTTTTCCAAGTAAAGCTCTCCATTCACCTCAGGCTCTTTAAGTTAGGATCACAGTTGTAAGCTGCCTCCGATGTGAGTAATTAGGAAGCACAATGAACCTGACCACACAGTTCTTGCCAAGAGTAATTGAACTGAATCTAACATCTGTAGAGGGAATTTCCAGTCTAACAGGAAACACAAGGAAAGAGGAGCAAAGACCAAACAATGAGACTAACTGTGAGAGACAATTTGACCACTGGGGACATTTGAACATGAAGTGTGCATCAGATGGTACTAAAGAGTCCTTGTTAAGTCTCTGTATCTAAGAGATACATACATAGATACAGTTGTAAGTGAAAAGATACTGTTTCTAGGATTTGCTCTAAAATAATCCTGAGAAAAATTCATGTGAAATAAAACTGGCAATATGTTAACAATTGTTGAGGCTGGGTGTGGATGAGGACATGGGAGACTTCACTGAAGTATTTATTCTACTTTTGTGTATGTTTGAAATTTTCTGTGGTTTAAAAAATATTTTAATATAAAAAAGACAAGAGTAAAGGAGGAAGTGATCAAAGAAACTATAACAAAATGATCATGGTGGCTGAAGCTGGGTTGTGGGTGTGTGAGGATTCACGTAGAAATTTTTATGTGTTTAAAGTTTTTCTTTTTTAAAGATTTCACTTATGTATTTTAGAGAGAGGGGAAGGGAGGGAGGGAAACATCAATGTGAGAAATACAGTGATAGGCTGCCTCTCACATGCGCCCAACTAGGAACCTGGCCCACTACCCAGGCATGTGCCTTGACTGGGAACAGAATTGTGCCTTTGGTTTGCAGGCTAGCACTCATTCCACTGAGCCACACCAGCCAGGGTGTGAAGATAAAACTTTAAGGAAAAATAAGAAAGAAAGAAAGCACTATGGAGAGGTCTCCATGTGAATTCCTAGACGGGTGTCCTAGCAGACAGCCCAGTGGAGTTCTTGGTGAGAATTTCCTCATTGGGACAAGAGCTCACATGAGTGACCTCACACCAGCTCTTGTCACCTCCTTACTAAAACAGCCTTTGGGGACTATCTGGGTGTCCAAGCCTCTGTGCGGATTCTCCTGGGGCTCTCTGCCATAAAGGGAAGACCCAGGGTGCTGGATAACCTATGGGGTCTTGTCACTCCAGTCTGGCAGTCCCCTGCATTGCAGAGGTTATCAGAGAAGGGCTTACCGAGCTCCAGGCAACCGAGGACCCCGAGAACAAGTCCCATCGCATGGTATAGAGGCAGGACTGTGTAGACCACATCATCAGCTGTGACCCCACACAGAGACAGCATCCTGCTCATCTGTAGTATCCGCTCATGCGTGAGGATGGCGGGCTTCGGGAGACCTAGAGGATGAAGGCATGGGAAGGGTGGGGTGGCAGGGGCACAACATGCAGGGCTGGGTCTCCATGGTCAGGTCTGCATGGTCCTCAGAAGCTGGTTGAGTGTGAGGATTTGCAGGTGGGTTCAAGGAGGTCTGGTAGGTTTGGGGTTCAGAGGTGGAATGCTCTGTTAGGGTTTCAGTGGCTGTTTGCTACTGAGGATTCTGGCACTGACTACTCATATCACATTGGTGGGGGCGGGGTTCAGGCCAGATTTCACAATCAAAGCACAGAGTGGGTTTTGGAGGTCAGGCTTGGGGTCAGGTCAGGGTGAGAGTTCAGAGGTTGGGGCTAGGGTTGCTGGGTTGCTCTCACCGGTGGTCCCTGAGGTGTAAATAAACAGAGCAGGGCTCCGAGGTGTGATCCCAGCACGCAGGTCAGCAGGCACAGGGTCCATGGGCGCAGCATCAATGGTGGCTCCCAGTGCCCCCACACCCGGTGTCCGGGAGGAGAGGCTGAGGTAGAAGCAGCGGATTTTCTCTGCCTGCAGCTTGGGGAGGATCTCCTCCAGGTTCTCCTGGAGGTCTGTGGGGATGGGCCAGAGAAGAAACTGAGGCAAGGCACACCCTCAAGGTTTGGAGGGGAGACCTGAGACCCAGAGATGGGGCAGAGGAGCTCACTGCCAGCCCCAAAGAATGCAGCCAGCAGACAAAGTTTCTGTGTTCTGTAAAGAACCCCATGAGTACCGTAATGTGCTGTGTATATTGTGCAGTTTTCACCCAAATTTTTGAGGAAAGAATAAGGATGTGCATTATACATGGGTAGTACTAATTCTGTATGTGTGTGTATAAAAACATATTTTAATTCTTTTATTTATGCTTCTGCCTTAAAAGTATAAGTCTAGAAAGCAATAATGATATCCAGATGCAAAATAATATGCTGGAATATGAAATTGGTTTTCTTTCTAAATATAAATAAGTAATTAAAATATTAAAACCAATTTTTTCCCCTGAAAGTTTGGGCCCAAAATGTGGGTGCACATTATATACGGCAACATACGGTAGTAGTTATTGGCAAAAAAAATAGTCACGGTAAACAAAAAAAAAAAACAAGAACACTTCTGGTAACTCCAATATTACTTTAAAGTTCCAAGAGCCTCCGGAGTAAGCCAGGAGGGAGGAGCTCCTTGCCCAGCCCCTACTTGGACCCTCTGAACAGTCTGTGTCTGTCCCCTGCCCCATCCCCTTCCATCCTCTGGGGTCTTCACCTGGGTCTACTACCAGCACCCGAGCCCCGGAGCTCAGCACCGAGTGCACCAGAGGCCCCCCACGAATGTGTGGGTTGATCCAAGCCACCGCGCAGCCCAGCTTGGCCAGTCCCAGCCACAGACCCAGAGCTGGAATGTACTGGGAGGGCAGCACCAGGAGAGCAGCAGATTCCCTAGTCCCCTGGCCCGCGATGTCGACCAGCTCCGCCTTCAGGGACCACGCTGCCCGGCAGGCCTGGGTGTCCAGCTCCCCGTAGGTGACTGAGCGGCCCCCACGTCCAGTCCACACCAAGGTCACGCGGCCCGGCTGCATGTGCGCCCGCCGCTCAAAGGCATCCACGAAGGTTAAGGGGGGCTTGCGGCTCAAGCGCACCCAGATGTCCAGGCCCAAGCGGAGGATCCCAACGATGTAGGCCACGTCGGCGGGCAGCCAGCGCAGCCCTGGGGGTGGCCGTGTGGGCAGCAGAGCCAGCACAAGAGCCACGGTAGCCAGACTCAGCCAGTGGGGCATCCAGGGAAGGAGCCACGGCCGCGCCAGCGCGGCTAGGGCTACCAGCGCGCAGCAGGTGGGGTCCCCCAGGAGCCAGCGTAGTGCCAGGGCCACGGCTGCAAGCCATGGGGACCTCCCTAGGCTCAGCAGCAGGAGCAGCAGCAGTGAAAGGCGCAGCCAAAGACCCATTGCACCAGTTCTGTGTTCAGAGAAGTGACGGCAGGACGCCGGAAGCTGTCGACCTCGACCTCTGGCCCCTGGCTGTTCTGCGCAGTTGTGACAGCGGTGCTACCAGTCCCAGGACTCTGCTGCCACCCTTCTTTCTCTTTTTTAAAGATTTTATTTATTTACTTATTTATTTAGACAGAGGGGAAGGGAGAAAGAGGGGAACATCAATGTGTGGTTGCCTCTCACGCACTTCCTACTGGGGACCTGACCTGACCGGGAGGGAGAGAAGGAAACAATGTGCAAGAGAAACATTTATCAGTTGCCTCTCATTGTCACCAGCGCCCGAAACCCAGGTGTGTGCTTTGGCTGGGAATTGAACTTGTGACCTTTCAGTTGGCAGTACAATACCCAAACAACTGAGCCATGCAGGCTAGGGGTATTTTTATTGTTGTTACTTTTTAATCCTTGCCCAAGGATATATTTACAGACCTTGAGTCAGTGGGCAGGGGGAGGTTGAGAGAGAGAAACATCCATCAGTTGCCTCTCATACCCGAGCCAACCAGAGATTGAACCCACAAGCTTTTGGTTGTATGGGACACTGCTCCAACCAACCAAGTCACCCAGCCAGGGTTCTTCTTTTTATTCCTCAATTACAGTTGACATTCAATATTAGGTTAGTTCCAAGTGTACAGCATAGTGGTTGGATAACTTTATGTACCTTAGGAGGTGATCCCCCCCACACCTAGTACTCACCTGGGACCATACAGATATTGCAATATTGACTATATTCCCTATGCTGTACTTTACATCCCCCTATTCTGTAACTGACAATTCTTAACCCCTTCACATTTTCACCCAGCCCCCAACTCCCTGCCCCTAGCCCTTCTACCCCCACCTATTTGTTTAGCTTTGTCTAGTCCTGTGTTACCTCTCTGCACCTGTGGGCACCCACTGTGGACCAGGCACTTGGGAAATGGGCCAGGGGCAGAGTCAACAGGACAGCAAGGGCAGTGGGCTGCAAGCACAGTCTGCTGCTCCTCATGCCACACCTAGAGGTTCTCCAATGACACCCACTTATTTTTTAAAAAGATTTACTTTATTTTTAGAGAGAGGGGAAACATCAATATGTGGTTGTCTCTTGTGCGCCCCCTACTGGGGTCCTGGCCCACAACCTGGGCATGTGCCCTGACTGGGAATCCAACTGGGGAGCCTTTGGTTCAGCGACACCCACTTAATCTGCAGGGAGATTAGGCTTGGCTGGACTGAAGCTCTAGCCAAGTGTATAGTAAGTGCTCAGTAAGTACTAAAAGTAACTTGTGCAGTGTCCAAATTCAAAACCAGCTCTGACTCCCACTCATGTTCTGTGCTCTGTTGAACAGATGTATCTTACCATCAGTGGGGACCATATGCATGGTGAGGCCCCTCACCTCTGGAAGGCAGTCACAGGGGGAGTTCAGACAGGCATTGTCAGTAGCCCAGGATCTGGGGCACCACCCTCCAAGCCATACCACCCCCTCAACCTGCCCCAAAGCCTTAGGGCAGGATGCCCAGGCCAGGGGCCACCCCTGTGCTAGAGGTAAGAAAGGAGTAGCCAGCCTCCCTCTGGACTGGCAACCAAACTGATTGCAGGGTTTGGTGGCAGGAGCTTTGCCACTACTGTCTTCAGCAGCCCAGCAAGAAACCCAAGGGTCCCCGGCTGCCACTCTGACACCAGCCCACCTGGCACTCCAAACCTTGCCTGCCAGGGCAGTTACGCTAGGGCTCAGATCCTCTCATGGCAGCCTTGCTTTCAAAGACTCTCTGGGCCCCGCAGAACTAACATGCTCAACCATTATGCCCATCAGAGCAGGGAGAGAAGCTCTGAAGTCCAAAGGTCTTGGAAGATCTGGGGGACAGGCTTCAAAACTTGCCTGTTGGACAGCAGCAACAGGGATTGGGGTAGAGCAATCCCCCGGGGCAGGGCACCTGTGGCTTCTCTCTGAAGACACACTTCATATGGAGCTGACCTGTACCCTCTGCACAAGCCCAAGAACTCTCTGAGTCAGGTGGCAGTCATATGTGCACCCCACTCCAGCACAGAGGTGCCAGATGACCAGACGGACTTGTCTTTGCCCCAGGGAGGGGGGCACTGAGCCACAATGCCCACAGCCAGTCTGTGGGAGTGAGGAATACACAGTTCAGGAGCTCACAGCTTCTGGGTCTGGGTCCGAGAGCCAGTCTTTAATACACAGTCCATGATGAGTCCATTGGAGCTCCTTTAGGTGCCAGATGAGGAGTGGCTAGGGGAAGATGCCAGGGATCTCACCCAGCCTGACACTGGGGTAGAGAAGCAGCCCTAGATGGCACCCTACTCAGGGAAGGCAGTGGGGCAGGAATCAAAGTTGGAGTCAGGAATCCTGGGCCCACCCCCAAGCCTGATAATCCAGTTCAGAGGTGGTGGGATCCCAGATCAGCCCCAACCTGACACTACCTAGGAGGGGTCTGAGTTGGGCCCGTGGACAATGGAGGAGGGTCTGTGCTCAGGGGACAGCGTGGTAGAATGGCTGGACCATGGCCAAGGTGCCTTGGTGGATATACCTAGCTGGAAGGCATGTTAAGGGGTCCGATAGTGGGTGTGGCATAGCCCACTAGCTCTCAAGACCCTGTGAAGGGTGTGACCTCCTTCAGGGACTTGGTCAAACCCATGAGGGGCATGGCCAGGCCTCGTGCCCCGGATCAGGGCGCAGGGTGTGCAGCCAGGTGGCGCTCCAGCAGCGCACGGTGCGAGAAGACCTTGCCGCAGGCGGGGCAGGGCACACGCTCTGGCCGGTGTGTGCGCATGTGCACGTTGAGCGAGCTCTTCTGCGTGAAGCGCTTGGCACAGACAGCACACTGGAAGGCGCGCACGCCCGTATGAGTGACCATGTGCTTGAGCAGGTAGTCACGCAGCGAGAAAGATCGCCAGCACACGGCACACTGGTGGGGCTTCTCCCCTGTGGGCGACAGGGTGGGCCCCACATGTATGTCAGGTGGGAAAAGACACCCCGCCCCTCTGCCAGCAGGGACTCCCCTCCCTTCCCCTCCCCTCCAGGACCAGCCATCAACCCGGAATCCCCCTGCCTGACAAGGACATTCTGGGACCACCCTCCACCCCCAGACCATACTATCCGACAAGGACCCCACACTGGGCCTGGTGTATCCCCTCCTCTGTCCTGCTGGGGCTCCCCTCTCCCAGACCCTTACCATCACACCAGAATCCCACTGACTGTCAGGGTCTCGCAACTCCAACAGGTACCCTCCCAGTAGGGAACCCCACCTGTGTGGGACATCACAGCCCATTGGGGCTAGCCTGTCAATGTCCCTATCCCCACCGCTGACGACGAGGCCTCCCCTCCCCCCCATTCCTACCATGCCCATAGAGGATTCTGAATTCTCATCTCTGGCCACCATTCTGGGGATGGTCTGGTAAGTCCCAGCACCCTTACATTGGAAGAGACCTGGACATACCTATCTAACCCCTCTCTGCTGGAACCCCTTCCTGCTGGCCATTCTAATGTCCCTGGGGAGACAGAGCAGACTGCCCTTCACCATGGATCAGAGGAGACAGGCTGTGCTGGTCCCTAGAGTCATCTGGTCTAAACAGAAGCCTTTCTCAGAGGCAGGTGGCTGTGGGGCAGTGCCTAGGAGGGGTTCTTGCAAACCAACCAGGCCTGGCACCCACCCGGCTAAGGCCACACAAAGCTGGCAAATCTTGGCTGGTACTGCTTTGGGGCCCCTGTTCTCTCTCCTTCCTCCCCAAGGCAGCCAGGTGGAGATTTCAGGCAGAGATTTCAAAGTCTAAACTACTTCACAGAACATTGATGTCCTCCCCAACATTCAGTGAAATCCTAACTTCCTGGCCCAGCAGAATTCCCCATGCCGTTCCCACTGGCTTTCCAGACAAATCTTTGCTTTTCTTAGAGTCCACCTGGACCTTTGGCATTGCATACTCCTGTGCTCCCCAGGAGCACCCGCGACAATCCTGTGACACTCTCAGGACCTGCCAGCAACCACCTCAGCCCCTGGCTCCACAATCCCCAACACAGCACTCTCCTTCTCCCCTATCAGCTTCCAAGCCTGCCTCCCCGATATGCTGAGGTCCAAGAACTCCCTGCAGCCTTGGGGAGCTTCATGTCTCTCCTCCAGGCCTAATCAGACCACCTCTCTTCTTGTTTCCCACGCTTCCCCAAGGGCAGTGAACCCACACTGCCTTGCACCCAGTCCCAGTCACTGGATCCACTGACACTCAAGTAGACCCATGAAGGTCCCCACAGCACAGCTCCCCAACCTGGCCACGCTGCCACCACAATTCCATCCCTCCAGCTCCACCTAGTGACTTAAGGCCACACTGCCCGTTTCCAAAGGGTAGGTTCCTGCCCCACAACCTAGGCTTAGGACACATCCCACACCCCTACACTCCACAGGTGTAGCACTTGGGGGCTCAATTTCCAGGTTCCTCTAGAGTCACCACCCCCACCCAGTGCCCAATCCCGCCTTAGGTTTGAATCTCCAGTGACTCAGAGGCTGAGACACACCCTGGCTCACCGGAATGGATGAACATGTGCTTGGTGTAGTTTTTCCGTGAGCTGAACGTCTTGCGGCAGTGACTGCATTCATAGGTGGGTGGCTGGGAACCCGCAGTTTGCGTAGAGGGGACCAAAGGGGCAGAGGCGCGAGCAGTGGACGGGGCCGGAGGCTCCCCCAGAGTGGTACTGGGGGCGGCCTCTGGCTGGAGCACAGGGTAGAAGGTGGCGGGGGGTGCGGGGGCTGGCCCGGAGGGTTGGAGAGGGTGCTGCACCGGTGGCCCTGGAGAACCCAGATGAAAGGGGAAAAGGGCTACGGGCGGCCCTGGGGTTTTCACGGCAGGCGGGCGAGGCCCTGATACAACACAGTCAGGTGGGGCTGAGGCCTCGGTGGGACAGCTTTCTACTGCCGTGCCCTCTTCCCCTTGCCATGCAGAGACGTAACTGTCGGGGAACACGTCCTCAGCCGCTGAAGGCCCCCGAAAGAAGTCCCTCCCAGTGCCGTACTCGGAGAGGACGGCGGATGCAGTTGGTTCCTCACGTGCGTTGTCAGCGGCAGAGGTAAGGAAGCCCGCGGGGCATTCGGGGAAGGAAGGGGGCGCCTGGCCCTCGCCTGGGCCTCCGCCCTCGCCGTCTTCGCCATCAGTGTCGTCATCTGTCTCCTCGTCCTCATCCTCCCCACCCTCATCTGGGCCCGCAGGCAGGGCGGGGTCAGTGGCCGATCCCTCTGCTTTGGCCGGAGCAGAGGGCGCAGGTAGCTGCAGGCGCGCGGGCTGACGCTGCTTGCGGCTGTGCGCCGCACCTGGATGGCCCAGGGGGCGCGCGGCCAGCAAGTGACGCAGGCGGTGGCGAAGCTGTGCAGGTGCGAGTGGCGGGGGCACAGGCGTGGGCAGGGGCGGGGGCGCAGGGGTGCCTGGGGCAGGGGCGCGGGTGCGGGCGATGATCTGTGTGCACTCGTCAATGACGGTCTGAATGCGCAGCACTGAGGCAGCCGTGAGCACCTGAAGTGCTTCGCCTTGCGCCACCACCAGTGAGCCGCTGTAGAGGAATTCTACGAGCTGACGCACTGTCTGTGCGGGCACTACAGGTGGCACGCGGATCTCGGAGTGACCGAGCAGCAACTTGTCCTGGAAGAAGGGTGAGCCGGCGGCCAACACGCACCGGTGCGCGCGCAGCGAAGCCTCGCGGATGCGCACTGTCACGTCGCAGAAGTGCCCGCCCAGTCGCTGCCCGTTGAGGGTCTCGAGCAGCGAGCGGGAGAAGTTCTGCAGGTGGATGTGGTGCACCGCCTCCGCCGCCGCCGCCGCCGCCATCTACACCGGAGGAGGAGGGTGAAGGGGGGAGGTCAGCCAGGAAATCCCTTCTGCTTTAGTGTCCCTGTCCTTTCAGCCTTTGTCGCAGGACAGGGCCCAGGGGCAATTCTCAGCCCTTCCTACCGGATCATTACAGCGCTCAGCTCAGCACACAGGGCCCAGCTTGACTCCCCTACACTCTCTCTCTCCCTCCCTCCCTCCCTCGCTCGCTCTCCAGGATTTCTGCTGGTCTCGCCAACTCCACAGTTTTCTGCAGACCACTGGGGGAGGCTGAGAATATCAAAGGCCTACCATTCCCCTTTCACCAATGTTGCTTACTACTCAAGGGAGAGTCCAGGGCTGGCATCTCCTGTCTTGACCCATTCACCCACCCTTTTCTCAACTCCAATATCTATCTACCTTCCCCACATCCCACTCGAGGGGCAGCCCTGTGGAGAATAGGGCAGAGACCTGCACCCAGAATAGGCTCACTCTCCACCAGGACAGTTGATACTCCCTCCACTCGTGACCTCTTTTACTCTGCCCCTGCCACACTCCCCAACCTTAGAGCATCCAAGGCCCTGAGCAGACCCGGTTCTGCTGCCTCATCACTGGTAACCAGTGTACAGGTCTTCACAGAGTGGAGTGGCTCAACCTGCCTACTGGACTATAGGTGATCAGGAGTGTGCAGAGTCACAAAACGTTCAGAGTATGTTGGGCAAAAGCCTGGCAAGTACCCCACAAGAGGAAAACACGTAGTTTCTGGCACACTACAACACAGCAGCCTGATGCTTCTTGGAATATGGATGGTGCCTGTGGGACACAGAGAAGGGACTTGTGTGGCCTCCACAGGGGTGTGTGATTGGGTGGGAGTAAGTGGAGCATGGCTGAGCAATCTGGATGCTTCTTGTCAAAGTGTGACCTCATAAGCCCAGCACTGCCCACCCTCAGGCACCAGAAATAGGGGTTACCACCCCTCCAATGGACTCTGAGAATCTGAGCAACTCTGCTACTTCACCCATCAAGCAGGCACCATGCTCACTCAACCTCAGTTTTCCCTCTATCAAACAGAAATAAAATACATGGCTCATCTCATACCCAGGCCACACATTTCCGGTCTGGGGAAGGAGAATTGGGACACAGGATGCACCCTGAAATCAGTCTAGCCCATGCAGGGTCACACGGCCCCAGAGTGAGGCCTTCCTTAATCCTCAGCATCTACTGGGGTCTTAGACTCACTCTGTCCTGCTTTTTAAGCCCAAATCGCCTTGCTAGGACCAGACCCCTCAGACCGCTTCAAACACCTCCACTGCGCCAGTACCGCTGGCTTGGACTAACTCAGTGACCTGTTGGCTTCCCCTTCCTGGTCTATTTCCCACGCAACAGCCAAAGGGATCCTGTTCGTTCCTAACTGATCGGGACCCTCCTCTGCTCAGAGCCCCCCCTGCCCCCAACCCCTGCGAAGAGTTCTTGGCAATTCCACAAACGAGTCAAGTCTGCAAGCGCAGTTGCCTCTTCCACAAGCATCCTTCCTCTTTCCATTCACCCAGCATCTAAAGGACTTCAAGTGCGCTCCCCGGAATGGGACAGAAACCTGTACATCAACACTTAGGGCTGGATCCCTTCCTTTTCCAATCCACTCCTCCCTAGTCCCTGACAGGCCCCAAGTCCTAGTTCCAGAGGCAGCAGGGCCTTCCTGGAGCGTAGGAACAAAGGCCACCTGAGGACACGGCCCCTAAGCCATCCCTCCAGGGCCCGCGCCGCATTCCCGACGCCACGCCTCTGACAACGCCGCACACTGAGCCCCGAGCGCCCTCTCCCGCGCTCTGCGCCACTGCACGTACCCTGCCCTGAGCCCAGCGCCCCTTTCTGGTCTGCGCCGGGTGCACCCGCTGCAGCCCGCAAAACCCGGGTCTCTCGCGTCCGCGCCCCGCCCACGCCTGCAGCGCCCCCTCACGTCCCTAACGTGCACTCCAAACCTAGTGCGGGCGCCCCTCTCCTGACACGCCCCGGCCTCCCCGCCGGTCCTGCGGCCCGGGGATGCCCGCCCGACCCCACCTCCGGCTCCTCCTCAGGCACCGGGCCCGGCCGTAGCCGCCTCCGGCTTACCACCGCTAAGGCCGCACTTCCGGGCCGCAACTCCAGCGGAACCGAAGTTCGCGGCCGCCGCGGCGCTGGGAAGCCCTGGGCGGGAGCACGTTTCCGGCGTTTCTATAGCGATTCACCGCCGCCGCCTCCAGGTAGCAGTTCCTGGGAAACCAATCTCAGATCCAGCGACTGCTGGGCCGCGAGGATGCCTGGGCCGTGCCACGGTTCCGGAGTCGCCCTAGAGACGGGGCGGAGGTGGAGCCTGTGCTGTCAATCTGCAGGCCACACCCCTGTGCACGTGCTGCGGAGCTGGAGATCTTGTGCAGCCTGAAGCCTGCGAAGGCAGTCTGCTGCTGGAGCTCGCGCTCGGCTTACACCCCATACGACCTAGGAGGAAGAGGCCTTGTACCCATGACAGGAGTGCAAGCAAGAGTAGGGCTTGTGAGTGAGGTGGGGGAGCAGATCCCACCCGGCCTTGGAGCCTAACTCTGCCCTGTGCCTGAGCATGGGTCCCAGGCTGAAGGTGAAGATAGCCTGATTGGATGCTCTACCCCTCTCCCGCCCTCCTGCCCCAGGGCTAGCCATGATAAATAAAGGAAGGCTTCTGGATCTGAATGATGTATCTCGGAGCACAGGAAAGGAAGGGTGGAGGGTGAGATGGGTGGTACCTCTGCAGGAGTTACAAGGGATAGAGTCTGTGGGAAGAGCTGTCCGGCCCTAGGGAACAGGATAGGTCTGCAAGGGCCTTGACGGGGACTGGCTGTCCAGCACATGCATGATAGATGGTGAGGCTGGAGAGGTGAGCTGGCCTGGCGTTACTCTCATGGGGGCTGGAGGGAGGCAGGAGGGCCTGGACCTCAGTGGACCCCATGCCTTATACAGCAGGCATGGGGTCTATCTTGTTGGAGGGGTGACTTCTCAGCCTTCAGTTTGGAAACAAGGTCAGAGTGCTTGCTTACCGCAGCTGTGCTGTAATTGTTTTGAAGGCCATGGACAGGAGGGGAATATGTTAGGTGGGGCATCACCTTCCCCACTGGCAGCCCCTCCTGTGGCCCATGACCTGAGGAAGCTGATTAAAACCCAAGTCTAATGGCTACATTGTCTTTGTTCAGAATGTGGATCCCTCACAATAGCCTGCCTGGTCCACTGTGTTTACCACATTCCACCTCAGCGACCCCTCTTGATCTCTCCTCTCCATTTCCTGTCACTGATCATTCTTCTCTGGCCTCACAGGTCCCTTGCTGTGCCCACCTCAAAGCTGGCCTGTTCAGTTCCTTTATCCGTAGCACCTCACACAGCTCAGCTGCTAGCACCTTCCCCAGGGAACCTCCCTGACCTCAAGTTTCCCTCCGTCTGTCACAGGGCCTGTGAACAGGACGGAGGTCATGTCTGTCCTTCACCTTGACATACAGCCGCTGCCCCTACAACTTAAACAGAAGTGGAGGTGGCAACAGCGGCTTCACTGTGCCCTGGACCTAATTTCATTGGATTCTGGGGCATTGTAAGTAATCTAATGTAGGGGGGCAAAATTCTAAAAATGCCCTGCCCAAATCCCCAGAATATGGCAGGTATAATCAAGATTACTAATCAGCTGACTTCACAATGTGGAGATGACCATGGATAGTCTGGGCAGGCCCAAGGTAATCAGCAAGGTCCTTAAAGACTGAAGAGGAAAGCAGAGACTTGAATTAGGAGAAGGACCTGGGGGCCTTTGAAGGTGGAAGGGGCCACATGACAGGGAATACGGGAGTGATGGTTGGGCCCAGAACCTGAGAAGACCCCTGGATGATAGCCAGCAAGAAAACAGGGATCCTCAGTCTTACAACGACTTGGAACTGGGTTCTGTCGGCAACCTGAGTGAGCTGGGAAACTGATTTTCCCCCAGAGGTTCCAGATGAGAGCCCCGCCCCGCCCACAACTTGACTGAAGCCTTTGTGACACCCAGAGGGATGCTGCAGCCTAGATGTCTGACCTACAGCTAGCTATAAAGTGGATGTTTTAAACTACTGTGTTTGTGGTTAGTTGTTAGCAAGCAACGAGAGAACAAGTACAGCTGCCAGAGACTCAGGGTCTCCATATAGTAAGTGATAAATGCCATTATTTCCATGGACTGAATACTTCCCATTGCCTCTCTCATGCCATATGCTTCAGCTCTGCCTTACCGCTTTGGTGGTCTCATTCTCCCATCCTTCGAGACCCTACAGACAGGGGGATAAGAAGGGTCAGAGGGAAAACAACTCTCCAGACATATGGCTGGCAGAGCATCAGTGCAGGTGGAAAGGCTTGTGTGAGGACTCTGCAGAGGGAGGGTGTGGGACGGGGAGAAACTCAAGCCCTGACCCCACTCAGGCCTTGCGAAAACATGTTTTGCTTTTCTCTCCAAAGGCCTCTGTCATAGTGGTTATGGAGGCCTTTGGGGGAATAGTGCAGCCAAAGGCACAGGTTTAATAAGCTAGGGAGGGGCCAATGTGGCCTGGAATTATCTGAACATTCTAGGTTTAGAGTCTTCAAGGTAGTGGGGGATGTGAAAGGGCAGGAGACAAGGCTGACCATCAAGGGAAGAACCTGGGAGGTCCCAAGGATACAGGCACAGAAAAGAGCATTAAAAATGGAGCTCCTGAGTGGCTGGTGGAGGCAGGACACCCACCCCCAGGGCTTAGGTCAGGAGTCAGAAAGTCCAGTCCCCAGTTCCAGCTCAGCCTGGTTTCCCAACCCCCCTCTACCTCCATCCATGGCTATGAGGCTGGCTTTCCAGTTAGGATCCCTTCTGTGGCAGCCACTGTTCGTGGATGAAGCCTAGCACCCAGACCACAGTGTCTGCAAGCCCTATGGTAATGGATCTGGGCTGTGCCGGGTGTGGGATGCAGGTTCTAAGACCCAGACACACACCTCAGTGCGCCAGGAGCTTTCTTTGGCCCAAGGGGTCAGATGCTAAGCATGTCTCCTGGAAAATGTGTTTTGGTGATAGAGTTGAAACTGAAGGTGGGACCTGACCAGGCAGGTACCAGCAGTGGGGAGGGGCAAGGGGGGTGGGGTGTAGCCTCCTTGACTGTATTGAGAGGAAATGAGACCTTTAGGGTGGGGGTGGGGGGCAGTGGCCGGATCCTATTGAGACACCTGAAAGGGAAATGGACCAGGCCTGGGTGGATCCTGCAGAGGCTTAGGAGCAATGGGTGGGGCCAGGAAAAGATTAAGCAAAAAAGAAACATCCAGAGAGGTATCAGTGACTGCCAATGAGGGTGTGGTGTGTGGGTGGGGTGAGGAATATTTACAACACAAAAGGTTTAATTTCCTTTCATATGTAAAATACAAAGAAGCTATTATTAGCCTCCTAGAGCAGCCTGAGGAAACCAGGTGGGAAGGAGGAGACCTAAATTTAAGTAATCTTAATTACAACTACCTCTGCATTCCTTTAAGGTCCCCACACCCAGGCTATTCATTGATTTTGAAAATGTGAAAAGCCCAAGAAACAAGGAGAACAACATAGGATACGTGAGCACGCTCATCCCCAAATTAGTAATTTTTAAATTTTTTAATTTATTGATAATTTGTAGAGAAACTCTTGTTTCAAGTATTTATGCATTCATTGGTTGATTCTTACACGTGCCCCTACCTGGGATCCAACCCACAACCTTGGCATATCTGGATTGCGCTCTAAGTGAGCTACCTGGCCAGGGCAAACTTTTTCTTTTCTAAATTTGTCTTTTATTTGTGTTTTTATTTCGGTCCGGTATTTACTATACTAAAACAAAATGTAAACAAAAAACATTTTTTTTTTTGGTAAAACTTTGTGGCCACAAGGAAAGCGTGTCCAGGTGGCACACGTGGGCAGTTCTGTTCCTTAAGGTTTCTCGTTCCTTCCTGGGTTTAACAAATCCTCTTAAAACCAGACTAAAATGTTCTGTTCTAGTCCCTGCTGCTCCTGGGCATCCTGGGGCTGGGAATTCCAGTGCACTGGGCCCTGGGTGCAGGAGCAGGTGTGAGAGGGACACTTTCACTCGCTTCTGCAGCCTTTCCCACCCTTGGACCTCAACTTGCTCAAAGGATTCTCTCATTCCAAGTGTACAGACAATCTGATCATGTTCAGTAACTTAACCATGTTGTGACCCTTAGCACTCCCCAGTTTTAGAACCTTCCCATTATCCCCTGTGAAACTCTTGGGACTATTCACCTACCTCCTCCCCTCTTAGGAAACAGCGAATCGAAGGTCGCTGTCGATTTGCTTGAGTTCCAATTTATACCAATGGCATCCCACTCTCTGAGGTCTTCTTTGCCCTGTCTCTGCCCTTGGCTCCTGTGCCCCACAGAGGCTGTGCATTGCGTTGAGGTTGGATTATTTTTCATTCCTGAGCTGTGTCCTTGGCTTCTGATTTGAAAAGCACTTCCTGGCGGGTTGAGGTGGGTGACGGAGACCAAACACCCCCAGCCCTGCTTGCCATGCTGTTCGCACCCTGACCTAGCCACGTCCACCATGATGGGGTCCGCCCTCCTCAGTCCTCTTCATGTTCAAGACACAGATGAACCCTTCTCTTTTAACCTCTGGATGCAGTTTTTTTTTTAATTACAGTTTACATTGGGTGCAGCTTTTAAAAGCAAGAATGGTTTCAGCTCTCTCTCTCTCCCCTCCCAGAGGACGCTAGATGAAATCTTTTCCAGAGTACTTGGCTTCCTTTCTCCTAAACTCCAAGGACTCTTCTTCTGCTTCTGTAACTTGTTTCGTGAACCTACACAACTCAGCTGGCTCGATTTTTCTACCTCTGTACCTTTCTTTTCTTTTTCTTCTTTTTTAAATGAGATTTAAACTTGTAAAGTTTACTTATTGATTTTTATTTTATTGATTTTTATTTTTTAGAGAGAAAGGAAGGCAGGGGCGAGAGAGAGAGAGACAAAAGAAACATCAGTTTGTTGTTTCTCATTGGTTGATTCTTGTATATGCCCTGACCCAGGGCCAAATCCAAAATCT